GGGGACTCCTGAACTTCCATTTCAGTATTTTTCCTGTACCAAACTCTAAATATTTGAGATTAGGGAAAAGTTTGGAATCAGAAGATTCCAAAGTACACTCAAATAGTATTTAGCACATAGCTTGTGCTCCAAAGTATTTACTGAGTTGATGTAGAGTGCAACGATATATCAATAAAGATATTTTAAAATGACCCGATATTTCAATTGCCAATATGATTTTTGTGAAGAGATCCTGGGTTTTGGCATTTATGTTTTGCCATATGAAAGATGTATTCATGTAAAAGGTATGTGAAGCTAGTATCTGTCCACCTGTTTCGTTTTCAAGTAATCTTGGATATTTGTGGCATCTGGGTTTCTAAACTGGGATGGTGGCATTTATGTACAGACATGGGTAATTCTCCAAAGTAGATCTTGCCACACTAGTTTTTCAAGTAGTTGTCACCTAAATCATTATTAAAACGTGCCCATTCCAAATAATAGCAAATGTAGGAATTGAAAGAGCATCCCAGAGTAGGAAATTTGAAGAAAGTATTTTAAAACTTTACCTACGGTGAAGTCTAAAATTTTACATATGTAGGTATGGTTTTGGTAGTCGTATATTTGCCTAAAAATAATAGGTTTAATGATCTCATAGGCATAAAGATGTTTTTACTAAAATCTTACATTAGACTGAAGGCAGTGTTTTAGAGCCAGGATTCATTCTAAATTTATATCCTGTATTTGCCTTTTGAAGGTGGTTGCCTCTCCGGCACCCTGTTCTGTGCTGGTCTTTCATTGCTCCTGGTGACTCGTACCACGCCCAAATGTGAGCTCCTGTTTCATTCTGTGGACTCTTCCACAGATACACATTGAATACCCACTTGTGAGAAAATGGCTAGGCCCTTTGATGGATAATGAGACTATAGGGTATATAATGGTCTCAATTATTACTGTACTGCAAGTCAGTTGGGATGGGGAAAGGTGAAAAATTAGACAAATAGGAAATTATACCAAAAAGGCCCTTTGTATCAGCTTTTTTTTTTTTGAGATGGAGTTTTGCTCTTGTTGCCCAGGCTGGAGTGCAATGGTGTAATCTCGGTTCACCGCAACCCCTGCCTCCCAGGTTTCAAGCACCGGGCCTTGTATCAGGTATTTTTACAAGCAGGAGTGTGTGGGAGGGGTGACAGGTAGCAGGATAAAGATTAATATAAAATAGTGCAGATTAAGTTAAGAATGCCTACAGACAGCACTTTACATTGTCCCCCTTCAACATAATAAAAGGAAATAATTTTACCTTAAAAATGCACTACATCCTTTTGGGAAAAAGATGTTAACTGTTAATTTTGGCATGTGCTTGAGGTTTTGATATTAATTGGTAAGCATAGAAAGATGTTAATGTTTGACAGTTACGTCTTTTTCTAGGATAAGAATATATTTCTTAAGTGCTTCTTGTTTCTGTCAGCGATATTGGATAAGTGTAGAACTAGAAAAGCTCTTAGAAGACTTGGTGTGTACTCAGGGAAAGTGACACAATACAGTCTACCTACCATTTTAGGGGCGTAGATAACGGAGAGTGTTTAAAGACTTAAGGGTTTTCCTGTCCAATAAGGCAGTTCACTAAAATTGCAGGTACTTAATGGTTAATGCTCATTTCACACTTTTTTTCAGGGGAGTAGAGAAAAATCACCTTACAGGATGAAATTATAAGCATCTATATTTTCAAGGAAAGTGATAGCCTAAGTATCTGTATTCAATTTTTTTTCCTGTATTAAATTTTAATGTGTTTTTGTTTTGTTTTCGTCCCCCCGGCTGGAGTGCAGTGGCATGATCTCTGCCCACTGCAACCTCCACCTTCCGGGTTCAAGCGATTCTCCTGCCTCAGCCTCCCAAGTAGCTGGGATTACATGCATGCACCACCGTGCCCGGCTAATTTTTTATTTTTAGTGGAGACGTGGTTTCACCATGTTAGCCAGGCTGATCTCAAACTCCTGACCTCAAATGATCCTACCGCCTTGGCCTCCCAAAGTGCTAGGATTAGAGGCGTGAGCCACCACACGCAGCCTTAATGTGTTTTTTTAATTTAAAAAAGCATAGCATATTTACACCATCCAAAATGAATCTCCTAACGTATCAAATGTTTAATAAGTGTTTAAAATTCCAATGTCTCACTGTTTGGAATATATAATTCTGGATATATTTATTTCTATTGCCTATCAAATATATGGTGTATTTTGCTTTTTAGAATTATTTGATGTACATAGGAATTACCAAACTTTCTGTAAGGGACCAGATACTTTTGGTTTGGCGAGCCATAAGGTTTCTATGACAACTGTTTTAACTCTGCTGTTGTGGCACAAAAGCAGCCATAGACAATATGGAAGTGGATTGTAAGGTTTCATTGTAATGTTTATTTACAAAATTAGGCAGCAAGCCACAGTTTGCTGACACCCGATCTATAGGTTCCCCTTCCCCCACACTTTGTCCCTGTAATACATACAATGAAAAATGATGTGCCTTCCTAACATCAAGGAATTATTCCTTTCCAGAGTTACAAATCTTGAGTTGCAGAGACTTTAATGGCAAAATTTTAGCTGCAAAGGATACCTCACCATTTCAGCTGGAATTAAACAGTAAGATCTTAATAGGAATTTAGTTACACCATATCTCAATACCCAAGGCATTTCTCCCTGCACCACCCCCTCCATGACACCCTGGTTCCTAGATGAAAGAAATAATACATCTTACTCAGAAATAACATGCAGAACTTCATGAGAGGAGACTTTCACTTGCTGATAAAAATTATTGGCTAATTTAGACCCTGTTGTTGCCATACTATGTTAAAAGAGTCTTGCTCTTTGAATCATGCTTCAACCTTGAGCACTATAACATAGACTTTTTTTTTTTTTTGAAATGGAGTTTCGCTCTGGTTACCCAGGCTGGAGTGCAATTGTGCGATCTCGGCTCACCTCAACCTCCGCCTCCTGGGTTCAGGCAATTCTCCTGCCTCAACCTCCTGAGTAGCTGGGATTACAGGCACGCCGCCACCATGCCCAGCTAAATTTTTGTATTTTTAGTAGAGACGGGGTTTCACCATGTTGACCAGGATGGTCACGATCTCTTGACCTTGTGATCCACCCGCCTCGGCCTCCCAAAGTGTTGGGATTACAGGCTTGAGCCACCACGCCTGGCCTAATATAGACATTCTATAGCCTTTCAAAACTTGGGTATCTTTGATTCATATCTACATTCATGAATAAAGGTCAGTAAATAAGATTTGTCAGTCATCTTGGCCATAGCTTGAAAATGCTGTTTGTGAGTTAAAATAGCTGACCTGAAAAATGCTTTTCATCAAGCCCCCAATAAGCTCCCAAGACTAAAGACCAAACTGAATAATAAACCTTTAAGTCATTGTTTCAGACACACTGATTGCCCATTGTAAGCCCTAATTGAGGACCATCTTGTAGTCTTTGTGTTGCCCACTCGCGTGCAACAGTAGACTCTCAGTAAGTACATGCCAAATGTACAAATTCAGTGCTGAGCACAACTCTTTAGAGTCAGAACATTTCTATTTAAAACACAAGTTCAACATTGATCTAAATGGTTCAAGAGTTTTCCCATAATATTAAGGCTAATATTAATCAGAAGTAGTTTGATTATAAGGGTTGTAGAAAAAGTTCTGTTCTTCCTGTTTAATGAGATCCTGTCCCATCAGGAATGTCAAATATAATCAGGAAAGATACATAACTCTGAGGAAAACATAACCACTTAAGATGTGGGCATTCCATACACTGTCCAACCCATAACACACAGTCTAGATTCTGTCTTCAATATTTTAGTAAAACTACCCTCCAAAAGGCCCTTAGTGGCTAATCGTCAAGTCCACACCCCACTCTGCATCATTTAGCATTATTAATGACTAGTTTCCTTGAGATAACCCTCCTATTTGACCCTGAAAGCATTGGTATTCCCCTATTTCTTTGTTGGGCATTCTTTGTGTTTTTTTTGAGATAGGGTCTCACTCTGTCACCCAGGCTGGAGTGCAGTGATCTCAGCTCACTGCAGCCATCACCTCTTAGGCTCAAGTGATCCTCCTGGCTAGACACTCTTTCCCATTGTTCTTTCCATTGGTGTTATTCCGTTTCATTGATCACAGTGGCTCAAACTCTGGTAATTTTATCCCTGATCTCTTTGGAGCTTGCAAACATGTAAATGATACTATGCACTGTTGCTTGGTGCATGATGGATATTCAGTCACAATCCTAACTTGGGTCCCAGTTCTTTAGTTTTTGTTAGAGGTCCTCAAGGTCTTTAGATTTACATTTAACTGTAGGGAGTCTCACCATGGGCTGATGTTGCATAGTAACGTCACTTTTAGAAAAATTATAACCTCTGTTTTTCTGAAGACATTTAATGCATGCCAGCCATGTGAACACTTTGATGAGGTGATGTCCAGCTGACTTCGTCATCTCACCAACATGTATGTGTCTCTGTTAACTAAGATCAATAGAGTCTTAGAGCAGAAGGAATGTTAGAAACAAATACTCTGTACTTTATCCAGCCTCTGCTTGAACTCATGCAGTAAATGTTCACCTGCCACTTACTACCTCATCTAACAGGTTATATTATCTTGTGGTCCTATTCTTCCCTACATTGAGGAAGGTGGAAATCTGCCTCTCTACAACTTCCACTCGATAATCATTCCATCCCCTGAAGCCACGAAGATTAAGTGTGAGCCTACCACATAATGGTTTTATGTAACAGTGGAGATAGGAAGAGAGAAGTGCTTAGGATCTTAAAATTTTTCCATGCCTTTAAAAGACAATACTCTAGGTTTTCTTTCTTTTAAGAGGATCTTGCTTTGTTGCCCAAGTTAAAGTGCAGTGGCTCGGATTGTAGCTCACTGTAGCCTTGAACTCTTAAGTTCAAGTGATCCTTTTGCCACAGCCTCCTGAGTAGCTGGAACTGCAGGCATGCACCAGCACTCCCAGTTAATTTGTTTTTTTGTTTTTTTTTTCTTGTAGTGACAAAGTTACACTGTGTTGTCCAGGCTGATGTCCAACTCCTGACCTCATGCAGTCCTCCTGCCTTGGCCTCCCAAGTGCAGGTGTGAGCCACCACACCCAGTAAGAATAATGTGAGAACCCCATGCTGTTAACCCTTTTTCAGTTGAATGCTTTACTTTTTTTTTTTTTTTGAGTCAGAGGTTTACTCCTGTTGCCCAGGCTGGAGTGCAATGTTGTCATCTTGGCTCACTGCAACCTCTGCCTCCCAGGTTCAAGCCATTCTGTTGCCTCAGCCTCCCAAGTAGCTGGGATTACAGGCAGTCACCACCACACCCAGCTAATTGTGTATTTTTAGTAGAGACGGGGTTTCTCCATGTTGGTCAGGCTAGTCTCGAACTTCAGACCTCAGGTGATTCGCCCACCTCGGCCTTTCAAAGTGCTGGGATTACATGCATGAGCCACAGAGCCCAGCCTACTTTCCATTTTAAGACTAAGAATTGAATATTTGATGTGAAAAATTGATGTCCAAAAATATTTTAGAGAGAGGCAAGTAGAATTATTTTTTATATACTAGGATATTAATTTGTTGGCACTGGTATAACACTTATCTTGGAGAAGCAAGTATAATCCTATGTTAAGATTAAGTTTGTAGTTTGATATAAAAATTTAAATGTTGCTAATCTCAGCCTTTCAAGAATTTCATAGTTGACTTAAGGCAGTGTAATTTTAACATTCATACATTTAATTATGCAATTCCTTTAGAAAATGTATTACATGGAAAATGAGAGGCTTTTCTTTAATTGCATTTTAGATTATAGTCTAAAAGAAATGAGGAATATTTCAATATTTATTTATTATGAAACTTAAAGTCCCTCAAGCCCATCATTTGTCCTCTTTAGCTAAAGCAGGATAGTTTCATAATTATAGATACTTTCTTATTTTTATACTGTCCTTATTTTGAAAAACATGAGTATATGTCGAGTGCATTTATGTCACTAAGATGGAAGAATTTGAATATTGTCATTAGCTAATTTACATCCTAAAAGTTATTAATGCTTATTAGCACATTTTTGAACTTAAAATATGAGTCAGGAAATTCCCTAATAATAAACATGCACATGCCTTTTTTTTTTTTTTTTTTTTCCCCCGAGACGGAGGCTTGCACTGTTGCCTGGGCTGGAGTGCAATGTCGCGATCTCTTCTCACTACAACCTCTGCCTCCTGGGTTCAAGTGGTCTCCTACTTCAGCCTCTCAGGTAGCTGAGATTACAGGCATGTGCCACCATGCCCAGCTAATTTTGTATTTTTAGCAGAGACAGGGTTTCTCAATGTTGATCAGGCTGGTCTCAAACTCCTGACCTCAGGTGACCCACCTGCCGCTCCCAAAGTGCTGGGATTACAGGCTTGAGCCATCGAGCCTGGCCGCCAAATGCATTTTATAAGGCTTATTGTGTGCTGTTTGAAAGCTACCACCATATATGTCATTATTCTACTGGTGTAAAATCTACTATGAATATAAGAGAGCTGAGAATCCTGAGACCATCCTGCCTGTCTAGGTGATTCATTTTATTGCCATTTTCAGCAATTGATTGATACTCGTGACAAAGGAATGTTTTTACTCCTTAAGCATTTATCACTCAGTAGCATCATGCCAATTTGCTGTAAGTTTTATGTTTAATGTAAGCCATTTCCTTATAGTGTCAGTATGACTCAAGACTTCTAATGGTTGGGAAACTAAGTGCAGATGATACAGACATGCAATATTTTTTGCAAGCAGAAAATTTATAAATTTGCATTAGCTGGTTTGCCACTCTAGAAGCTTCTTTTCTGCATTTATGATGTAAATAACTTGAAAAATCAGATTTGAGAATGTTTCCAATATATTATACTGTAATTAATGTCCTTTTAGTGGTATATTTTTAAAAGTAGTACCTACTTTATCACCATATTTCATTGTTGGAGATGACTGATGAGGTAATTGCAAATGCAGGATGTGGCATTTATATATGCTAGAAAGAGACTCATTTTATTTTTTTATTTTTTATTTTTATTTTTTGAGATGGGGATGGAGTTCCACTCTTGTTGCCCAGGCTGGAGTGCAGTGGCGCGATCTCAGCTCACTGCAACCTCCACCTCCCAGGTTCAAGCGATTCTCCTGCCTCAGCCTCCCGAGTAGCTGGGATTACAGGCATGCACCACCATGCTTGGCTAATTTTGCATTTTTTGTAGAGATGGGGTTTCTCCATGTTGGTCAGGCTGGTCTTGAACTCTCATCCTCCGCCTCAGCCTCCAAAAGTGCTGGTATTATAGACTTGAGCCACCACGCCCGGCCTACTCAGTTTTATTTTTTAACCACATCCACTCATAGAAAGAAAACCTAATTGTACCATTAAAGAAAAATCACAAGCAATTGAAGCTAAAGATTGGTGTACTGTGTAACTGAGTCCCATCATAATAATTTAAGTATGTTTAAAGCATTTTTATTGTGGAATTTATAATTAGAACATGGCATATATTTAAGGCCTTTGTATTTCAGTTTCAGAGACGAAAGCTTTTAAAGACTTCTGAGAAGTTGTAGTTATAGCTCATGAACGTGACTATCATGGACATTGGAGAGGGAATGTAGGGGATTCTCATGAGGCACAGTAGATGGAAAAGACTTCTGAAGCAAAAGTTGTCCTGATTTGTAGATGTGATTTAGAACGGTTGCAGAATAAACTACAGCTTCATATGAACTGGCCTTACTTCTTTGAGCAGGTAAAGTTGGTGAATAATTGGATACTTTTTTCTTTAGTATCTCCAGAACACTATATTGGTATCATTCAGATCATGTATATTTATTTGGCTCTATTAGAAACGTTTTGTTTTTTCTTCAATAGAGAGTTATCTAAATAATCTAGTTAATTATTTATAATGTGAATTTTAAAAGTGAACGCATTGTGGGAGCTTTTTATTTTTCCTTTTTGTGTTTGTGCTTGATGAGTGTTCCATATATTCTTTGCCTTCATCTCTGAGTTCCTACTTAGTCCTTTAGCTTCCTTTCTTCTGATTTTTGGAAGTTATTTTTCTGGCTAAATTTTTTTAACTAAATCTAGCTATGTTTTAGATATAAAGACAAAGCTGAAAGACTCACTGTATCTTCAAGATAACCTAAAATAAATTGGAATCCTATTTTATTTGCTAAAAATCATCTCGATGTTGACATTGTTATTCTAATGTTAACCGTACAGATTTACTGCCAGATTTTGAATACTTTACTTCCAGGAATAGTTTCTTCATAGTGTATTTTCCTCTGCCTTAAATTTGGCCATTTTGCCCTGACTATGACCTTTCTTATTTAAGCTTAAGTGGCTAACAAATGCAGAGCGAACCTCAAAAGAAGAGCATTGTTTTCACTTTTAAATAACCTTCTTCAGGGATTTTCAAACTGTGCTCTGGGGTCCTAGGGGCTCTTTGAAGATGCCTCTCTGGGCTGTCTGGAGCAGAGTAGGTGGGCCTTGGGCTTCCGCTAAACCTCAGCTACAACAGCTTCACTTTTATCTTGTTAGGCTTCCAGGGTTTAGTGCTTTAAAAAAATTGTTTTAACCATTAACTTAATTTAAATACAATTATTTTTTTCTTAATGACTTAGCAGAAGGGCTCTGATACAAGCTTATTATCATTCATGAATGATAATAATAGTATCTTTTGTTTATAGAGCACATATCTGTCCCAGACCCCACTTGAAATATTTTGGAACATTCTTTTTAAAAAGCCCTGTAAAATTAAGTACTTTCATCATCCCTGTTTTACACATTAAGAAACTGAGACTTAAGGAAATAAGCAATTTGCCCACAGCATCATAGCTACTAAGTGACAGATTTTGCATTCAAATTTCGGTGTCTCAATTAATTACTATATTAGTTTAACCTAGGAATGACAAATACAGGATAAGTGTGCCCTTGCCCTTATTCCCACTCCTGAGGCAAACAGGACTAATGGCTGAAAACAGCCTTTTTCACTTATCACCAACACGGCCTTAGAATCTTTCTCAGCAAGGTGCTATGGGCCCTCACTCCAAATCTATTGGTGTTGGCATTAAGTGAGGCCTGTTTACTTCCCCTGCTTTAAGGCGAGATATTTGTGGCCCCACACTTCCAATTAGGAGGTCTCTTCAGCTCAAAGTGTTTGCCAATTGATTGTTTTGATATTAATAGTAGAAAAACACCAACTTTTCTTTGATCCTAGATGTACTTTTTCATAATGAAGTTATTCTATGAATTAAAATCCCTCACTGTATCATCTTCATTCTGACCAACTTCTAATAGAGAAGCTTTGTTTCTGTATTTATATATTTATAATTTGAATAATTTATACATTGATAATTATGAACACCATACAATCTTCATAATCAAGATCATTAGGGGTTTAGAAAGAAAATATTCACTTCGAGTAGCCTACTGGAATAAAGACCTAAAGTAATTTATATTCTGAGACCTAATATTTTAGCTGTGGGGTGGAGGTGGTGAGGGAGAAGGTGGAGAACTCATGCTTGGGGTAAGTCAGCCAGTTTCCTTATAGCTGGGAATTTAGTGGTTTGAATAACCTTCACTGTTTCCACTACCAGCATGCCCTGCCCAAGAATGTCATAGCCACAGGCTGGGTGAATGCCCAAACATTTTTAAAAAGAAGTACACACAACCAACCCCCCAGCTGATTTTTTTCAACTGCTCTTGCCAGGAGGGAACCAGTAGTTCTTGGGCTGTGCCCATTCTTACCAGGGAGATCTGGGTGCAATTAGTTTTTCCTGTTGGGTGCAAGACTTTTTGAATGACTCATCATAGTTCCAGCTCAAGACGTGTCAAAGAGGCCCAAGGCTATATTTAGGAACTTACTGTGAAATTGCCTGTCAGTTCCAACCAATTTTTCCAATATAGTATACGTTGAGAGTTAGTAGCAAGTAATTTTAAATACATGAAATGGCTTTTGTTGTCATCTTTGGTTGTTGTAAACTGGTATTGAAGATTTTCTTAAATGGATGGACATTCCTTCCATTTTGAAATGATTTAACACCCATTCGGCATACACATGACTATATTGGAATGACGCTCATGTGACCATTATCATGGAACCCATTAAATTCTTGTTTTAAAAAAAATTGAATATGTCTTAAAATGTTCTCTATATGAATAAAAAGGATCTTCCTAAAAGTTTTTTCTGATGCACTCTTATTTGTGTGTGTATTTTGTTTTGTTCTGTTTTTGAGTCTGAGTTTTTCTCTTGTTGCCCAGGCTGGAGTGCAGTGGTGCGATCTCAGCTCACCGCAACTTCCACCTCCCGGATTCAGGCGATTCTCCTGCCTTGGCCTCCCGAGTAGCTGTGATTACAGGCATGTGCCACCACACCTGGCTAGTTTTGTAGTTTCAGTAGCAATGGGGTTTCTCCTTGTTGGTCAGGCTGGTCTTGAACTCCCGACCTCAGGTGGTCCGCCCCCGCCTGCCTCAGCCTCCCAAAGTGCTGGGATTACAGGCATGAGCCACCGTGCCCAGCCTCTAATACATTCTTTTGAGTATTTTTGTAAAATTAGAGATTGTCGGACAGTGCTAAGAAGAATAATCCTAGTGATTGGGTTCAATGACACTTGGATAATGCTACTAAATATGAAATTCTTTTAAGAGAGTTTAAAGCACCAACTCCTACCAATGAGAATGTTGGAAAGTCCTATGGTTGCTGTGTAAGGTCAGCTCCACATGCCTCCTGTTTTTGCTTTTGTTGATTAAGAGAAAAGAGAGTAGCCAATTGTAAGTGGTTGTATTCCTAGTTGATCAGGGCTTCCTAAAAGACTATCAAAGCCATTGATTCAATTACGTAGGTGTAAGAGTTTCAACTGGATTAGTAGCCCACATGAAGTAGAAATAGAAAGGCCAACCAAAGAACTAGTGATTCTAAGGTAAAATTTCCAGAAATCTAAAAAAAGAACCCTTAAGATTGGAGATGATACCAGTTTTATAGTAATGGTGATTGTTAGCTGTTAAGGTTTGATGAGAAAAGTTCACTTATGTGTCTTTCAAAAGTTTGTTCTGATATTTCTTTTTTTCTCTTTTTCTTTTTGAGACAGTCGCACTGTGTCGCCCAGGCTAGAGTACAGTGGTATGATCTCAGCTCACTGCAGCCTCCACCTTCTGGGTTCAAGCGATTCTCCTGCCTCAGCCTCCCAAGTAGTTGGGACTACAGGTGCCTGCTGCCGTGCCTGGCTAATTTTTGTGGTGTTAGTGAAGAAGGGGTTTCACTATGTTGACCAGGCTGGTCTTGAACTCCTGACCTCGGGATCTGCCTGTCTTGGCCTCCCAAAGTGCTGGGTTTACAAGCATGACCCGCCATACCCGGCCCTGTTCCCATGATAATTCTAAGTCACTGTTTATTAAAGCATCTAAGCCTAAGCATAAAAGTTAGAGTGGTTTTTTTTTTTGTTTTTTGTTTTTTTTTAAGAGACAGGGTCTCACTCTGTTGTCTAGACTATAGTGCAGTGGCTCAATCACAGCTCACTGCAATCTCAAACTCCTGAGCTCAAGTGATCCTTCAGCCTTAGCCTGTGAGTGGCTGGAACCATAGGCACATACTGTCATGCCCAGCTAAGTTTCTTTAGTGCGTGTGTGCGTGCGCTTTTTTGTTCTGTTTTCTTTTGAGACAGAGTCTTCCTCTGTCCCTCAGGCTGGAGTGCAGTGGCATGATTGCAGCTAACTGCAGCCTCAACCTCCCAGGTTCAGACAGATCACTTGAAGTCAGGAGTTCAAGACCAACCTGGCCAACATGGTGAAACTCTGTCTCTACTTAAAATACAAAAACTGGCCGGGCGTGGTGGCTCATACCTGTAATCCCAGCACTTTGGGAGGCTGAGGCAGGTAGATCACGAGGTCAGAAGTTCAAGACCAGCCTGGCCAACATGCTGAAACCCCGTCTCTACCAAAAATACAAAAATTAGCCAGGCATGGTGGAGCGAGCCTTAGTCCCAGCTACCTGGGAGGCTGAGGCAGGAGAATTGCTTGAGCCAGGAGGCAGAGGTTGTAGTGAGCTGAGTTTGCACCACTGTACTCCCAGCCTGGGCAACAGAGTGAGACTCCATCTCAAAAAAAAAAAAAGTGAATTAAAAATACAAAAATTAGCTGGGCATGGTGGCGCATACCGGTAATCCTGGCTACTTGGGAGGCTGAGGCGGTAGAATCACCTGAACCCGGGAGGCAGAGGTTGCAGTGAGCCGAGATCATACCATTGCACTCCAGCCTCGGTGACAGTGTGAGACATAATCTCACCACTCAGAGATAGTAATTGTTAACATTTTGTTGTGTATTCTCGCAAATAATTGTATGCATGTGTAGCTCTATGCAGGACTGGTTTTCAATCACACTGATAAGTAACTGTGTCAGGTCATTTATTTTTATTTTTAATTTTTATTTATTTTGGGGTTTTTTTTGAGACAGAGTCTCACTCTGTTGTCCAGTCTGGAGTGCACTGCTGCTATCTCAGCTAACTGCAACCTCGACCTCCTGGGTTCAAGCAATTCTCCTGCCTCAGCCTCCCAAGTAGCTGGGATTACAGGAGTGTGCCACCACACCCAGCTAATTTTTGTATTTTTGGTAGAGACAGGGTTCTGCCATATTGGCCAGGCTGGCCTCAAACCCCTGACCTAAGTGATCCTCCTGCCTCAGCCTCCCAAAGTGCTGGGGTTCCAGGCATGTGCCACTGCACCCTGCCATGTCGGGTATTTATAATCAGCAACTGTTCTGGTTTTTCAGTGGCTTTTCTTACTGTTGGTAAAATATGTTAACTATCACTCTTTTCCTATCAACCTATTGATCGATCTATTTTTATACTTTTAAAAATGTGGCCATTGGCCAGGCGCGGTGGCTTACGCCTATAACCCCAGCACTTTGGGAGGCCGAGGTGGGCAAATCACAAGATCAGGAGTTTGAGACCAGCCTGGCCAACATGGTGAACCCTGTTTCTACTAAAAATATAAAAATTAGCTGGGCATGGTGGTGCAAGCCTGTAGTCCCAGCTACTCGAGAGGCTGAGGCAGGAGAATCGCTGGAACCTGGGAGACAGAGGTTGCAGTGAGCCAAGACCGAACCACTGCACTCCAGCCTCAGCAACAGAGCAAGACTCTGTCTCAAAAAACAAAAATGTGACCACATACTATGTGCTCTGTTGTGTAATCTGTTAAATTTTCATTTAACAATGCGGTAACATCTTTCGATGTTAGTAAATATGAGTCTACTTCATTTTTAATAACTGCATTGAATTGGTGTGCTTAGGAAAGACTTCTTCATTTTAAAATTACTAAAATAGTCAAATATATTACTTTCCAGTTAAGCTTATCTCTATCTAAGTGGTCAGCAAACTTATTCTGTAAAGGGCCAGACAGTACATATTTTTGGCTTTGTGGGCCATACAGTCTCCATCATAACTATTCGATTCTGCCATTTTAGTACAAAGCAGCCATACACAACCAATACCTACACAATCCTTAAACTTATGCACGCTGAAATTTGAGTTCCATACAATTTTACATGTTATGAAGTATCTTTTGTTTTTTTTTCATTTAAAAGTATAAACTCATTTTCTACCTTCTTAGCTCACCAGTTATACCAAAACAAGTGGCAGGTTGCGCTTGGCTCTCAGGCCAGAGTTTGCTGACCCCTCTAGCAGAATGCTTTCCTTCAAAGCTTTCATCTCCTGCCAGGAAGTCTCTCAGTGAACACCTAAGTTTCTTTCAGTTGGATGCTAACCTTCTTGGATATGTTCTTTTGATGGTACAGAGATGCCCTGGGTTGTAAAGTGAAAAATCACACCTCTGACTTAGCTTGTGTTTTTGTCACACGTCTCCAATCCAAACCGTAAGAGGATAAAATTCAGAGGTTGGGAGAAGGAACAACTTCATTTCTATTTTAGAAAACACAGCCATTTGAGCATGTTTATTGAAAGCACAGATATATTTTACAAATTCAGTTTTTCCTTTCTTTTCTTGTAAAAGTTTCTCATTGCTTTTATACTTTTACTAAGAAAACATTGCCTTAATATTGAAGAGAGAGACTTCTCTTACTGTTACCCTGTGGAAGCCATATTTCCAAGCTGCATCATATACTCTTTTTTGCTGTTTTTGTTTGGACACGGAGTCTTGCTCAGTTGCCCAGGGTGGAAAACAATGGCGTGATCTCAGCTCACTGCAACCTTGGCCTCCCAGGTTCAAGCAATTCTCCCACCTCAGCCTCCATAGTAGCTGGGATTACAGGCACCTACCATCATGCCGGCTAATTTTTGTGTTGGCCAGGCCACGTCTTGAACTCCTGACCTCAGGTGATCTGCATACCAAAATGCTGGGATTACAGGGATGAGCCACCACACTGGCCTACTCTTTTTTTAAAAAAATAGTAATTTGTACTGCTTAAGTACTGCAGGTTTTTTTCTTAATTGACTGCCACCAAGGAGTAATGAGTATCAAATATTCTTCTAAAGGCCCAATGTGCATTAATTCATGTAGATATCCATGTCAGCCTTGTGTGGTAGGTACTTATATTTATCTTAGTTTATAAAACAATCTATGAGTCAGAAAGGTAAATAACCTGCCTAAGATCACTCAGCTGGCAAGTGCAGGATGGAATTTTTTATTTTATTTTATTTTCTTAATACTCATTTTCATCCTGTTATTTTATTTTTGAGATGGAGTTTTGCTATGTCACCAAGACTGGAGTACAGTGGCACAATCACAGCTTACTGCAAGCTCCGCCTCCCAGGTTCAAGTGATTCTCCTGCCTCAGACTCCCGAGTAGCTGGGATTATAGGCGCCCACCATCATCCCTGGCTAATTTTTGTATTTTTAGTAGAGATGGGTTTTCGCCATGTTGGTCAGGCTGGTCTTGAACTCCTGACCTCAAGTGATCCACTCACCTCGGCCTCCCAAAGTGCTGGGATTACAGGCATGAGCCACCGCATCTCTCTCAGCCGAGGATGGAAAGTCAAACCTAGATTTGTGAGTCTTCAAAGAACACCAATGCTCTTGAACAGTGCTAGCCTGCTTCTCTGTGATTGGCCATTCCGAGGAAGCGCAGTTTTTGGTATTCAATAAAAACCTTGTGAAATGTATTTTGATGTAATTGCAAAGGCTTGTCTCAACAATATCCATCTCCCATTCAAAAACTAATTACAAATTCGTTGGCCAGCATGATTAAAGGCTCAGAATGAATTAAGCCCCAACCTAATTATGTTTAAAAAAAAAAAAACCCTGCAATAGACAGAGTTTTTTTTTTTTTTTTTTTAATCTACTTACTTTCTGCTGCATAGGTTAGTGTTTTACATAGTCAAATCATTTTTGTTTTCTTTATGGTTTCTGCTTTTGGTGTCTCTTATAGAAAAGACTTCCCCAATTCACAATTATTAAAATGGTCACCTATTTTCCTTTGAAGTAAACCAGTCTATAAGCTGTTTGTAAGATTGTTTGGCAGTTTATTCAGAAGAAATCCAAGGCTGGGCGTGGTGGCTCATGCCTGTAATTCACGCACTTTGGAGGCCAAGGCGTGCAGATCACCTGAGGTCGGGAGTTCAAGACCAGCCTGACCAACATGGTGAAACCCCGTCTTAAAAAAAAAGAAGAAGAAGAAGAAATCCATGTCAGAGGATCCAAATTTAATATGCTTTTGCTTTGACTTCAGTACCAAAAAGTTAAATAATTTTACTATGACATTATCTTCTCCTTTACAAGTCTTGAATTCAGAATTTACCATGTTCGTACTTAACCCCATTTTTCAACAGATGCAGTTACCTATGAAACTGTGTATCATGTTTATTAATTGCAGAGAAGCCCATAAGCTGTAGAAGAAAGCTATTCCTATGGATTAGGCCGGTATTACTATCTAAATAACTAGCTCACCATCATAAATGATTTCTTAAATGGTCTCTTATTAATTCCCCATGAGACAGATAATTTAATTTAGAAATTGCTTGTTGTGTAGCCTATCTGCACACTTGTGACCCACAAATGGATGACCCATATGTTGCTTTGTGAAGCAACTGGCTAAAATTTCAATCTCCTCGAAGACTCACTAAATAAATTTTTTATCTGGTCATATAATTGAGATTTATAGTCTACCAAATGAGCTCTATTGGTTTACAGCTGGGAGTTGGCCATTATAACTTAATAATACCTTTAAAAAAATATTTTCTCTCTGATTCCACAGAGATATTTTGGTCTGCAGCCTTTCTTTTCTGCTTTTCTACAGAGTAGCTTGTGAATTTACACTCACTTACATTTCTTGCTCTGTGTTTTTCTGATTAGAAATGTAAAGCCACAAGATTTTAAAGGTAAGTGGTTAGAAAAAACAGTGTATAAAATTGACAGACATTATACATTTTGTGAAAAAGAAGAGAAATATATATTCACCGAAAGGAATCTGGACAGATCATAATGTTTGCAGTGATTATTCCTGAGTGGTGGGATCGGGGATAATTTTCAGTTTCTTTGTATTTTGGTTATTTTCAAACTTTCAACAATGAGCTCGATTACTTTTACATAATTACAAAATATTTGGGGACAAACATTCACCTATTTCCCTTTTATGAAAACTTACTGGAATTAACATCATTTGATATAGTAACTATTTCTAAGTGAAAAACATAATTAAGACTGCAAAATATTACCATAAAGCCATTGGCTTATTCTATAGCACTGTGTAAGCACAGCATAGAATCAGAAGATGAAGATCCCAGAATGTGGGAACAGAAAGCTGACAACTGATTGAAGAATGGTGAGAAGACACAGGTTCTGAGGACTGTTTGACATCCTTTCCCTTTTGAAAGAAAAGCTATGTTCGAATGAGAGAAGAGTCATGAAAACCAAAAGGTTTCTGCATTTAATTCACTATTTAGAGGACTGAATTTACTCTTTTTTTTTTTTTTTTTTTTTTTTTTATAAGGAGTTTCGCTCTTGTTACCCAGGCTGGAGTGCAATGGCGCAATCTCGGCTCACCGCAACCTCCGCCCCCTGGGTTCAGGCAATTCTCCTGCCTCAGCCTCCTGAGTAGCTGGGATTACAGGCACGCGCCACCGTGCCCAGCTAACTTTTTGTAATTTTTAGTAGAGACGGGGTTTCACCATGTTGACCAGGATGGTCTCGATCTGTTGACCTCGTGATCCACCCGCCTCGGCCTCCCAATGAATTTACTCTTTGATTACAAGCACTGGTAGTTATATTTTATCTATTTTGTGGAAATGAGTTAGCACGTGTAGAAAACTGCTCTGAAAGGGACTGAAATGAAGCCATTAAGACCAAAGTGTACTTTTTAAAAATTAAATCCAGCCCTCACGCCTATAATCCCAGCACTTTGGGAGGCTGAGGCAGGTGGATCACGAGGTCAAGAGATCGAGACCATCCTGGTCAACAAGGTGAAACCCCGTCCCTACTAAAAATACAAAAATTAGCTGGGCATGGTGGTGCACACCTGTAGTCCAAGCTACTCCGGAGGCTGAGGCAGGAGAATTGCTTGAACCCAGGAGGCGGAGGTTGCGGTGGGCCGAGATCATGCCATCGCACTCCAGTCTGGGTAACAGTAGTGTAACTCCTTCTCAAAAAAAAAAAATAAATAAAATCCAAACACGATGATTTCCTGATCTTGGTGATAGTTACATGCGTCTGTTCACTTTGTAAATATTTATCAAACTCTTGTGTATTTTTCTGTATGCCTGTTATACTCCAATTAAAAAGTTTACTTGAAAGAAAAAAATCCCATCGCAACCCTGCTGCTGTCTTTTTGCAATGCACAGTGGTAGCCACGGTGTTTGGTTCCCCAAAATATTTCCTCCCTACTCCCACCTTTGGGTCTGGCCAATCACAGCAGCTCATTTCCTGCACTCCAGATTGGTGGGTATGTATCTGAAGCACAGCCAATCAGTGTCCTTCCCAGGGCCCCTTTGCATGAAAGGAGGAGAGAACTTAGGTGGTGTAGTTGGTGTTGGTGAGTTAATCCCTGAACAATATTGTGACAAGGAAGGACAGTAGTTGAGGTGTTTCTCCCAGCTGGTAAAGAGAAGCCGCAAGCTTTGCAGAGGTTGACCTGTCATCTCTAAGTTGGATTTCTGAGTTCCTGGATATGTGAGTCAGCTGCGGCAGCTAAACAAGGTGAATGTCTTCTTTTTCCCCTCTGGATTAAATGACAGCTAAATTGAATTACCCTAAACCCGTGATTTTCAAAGAGTGCATCAGCATCACCTGAAACGTATTACAAATGCACATCCTTGAGCCACACCCAGACCTACCGGACCCACTGGTAATGGGTCCGGGCAGGGCCCCAGCAGTCTGTGTTGCAGTAGGCCCTCCAAGGGATTCCAGTGTGCTCAAGTCTAAGAGCCACTGCCCTAAGCTTGCAACAGACATCCTCTCATATCTCTATACCACACATAATATCTCTACCATAAGTTCACCTGTTGAGAAGTCTCTCTTTTTTATTGTTGTTGAGTTCTAACCATGTATGCAGAATCCTAGGGGAGAAAAACATACAAGAAGCCAAGGGAGCTTCTCCTTACAGTCAGGTGCCAGCAAAAGTAACAATAGGAGATTTAGTAGGTAAAGCATTGTAAGACAAGAATTCATCATGCTTTTAATTGTAAGACTATAATTAATTCCTGATTAATTACCAAGTAAATGATGCAGAGGAAAAGGGAGATAACCTTTGTGGTTAAACATGACTGTAGAATCCTTTGTCCCTAGCCTCAGGCTTGTGGGAAACTTTCTAGAAAGCTGGAGAAGCTTCCTCAGGGTTTATGCACTTCTTCCCCAATTTGTCATAGTGTGGGCAAATAATTGATATATGTGGATTCTTTAATAACTTGCCAGTGCCTATTTACTAATATTTCTATAGAATGTGTATGTTCACAGAGGGAGTGCTTGTAATATTGGGCCTAAATAATGGCTGATGCTGTCTTTTTTTTTTTTTAATCTGAGACTTTAAAAATTGAGAATCAGGAAGGGACAGTGGGGCTGGGGGGAGGGAGTTGGGGAGGGATAACATAGGGAGAAATGCCACATATAGGTGATGGGGATGGAGGCAGCAAACCACATTGCCATGTACGTACTTATGCAACAATCCTGCATGTTCTTTACATGTACCCCAGAACCTAAAATGCAATTAAATATATATATATATGTGAGAATCAAGAAAAAAGAAAAAAAAAAAAAAGACTGGCATGGTAGCTCACACCTGTAATCCCAGCACTTTGGGAGGCTGAGTTGGACAGATCACCTGAGGCCAGGAGTTCGAGACCAGCCTGGCCAACATGGTGAAACCCCATTTCTACTAAAAATACAGAAATCACAGGGCATGTTGGTGCACGCCTGTAAACCCAACTACTCGGGGGGCTGAGGCACGAGAATCACTTGAACCCGGGAGGTGGAGGTTACAGTGGGCCAAAGAGACCATCAAATTATCACTAACTATGCCATATCCTTCTATATTTTATAAAATTGACCAAGTTTCCTTTCCAGTTCAAAGCTCTTTATTGTTTAATATTGAGCATTAACATTGCATCCTAACCGATGGGCTATGTGCATCTCCAAATGTTTATTAGGTGAGGTTAATAATTATGCTTTGTACCCAGGCAGCAACTTGGATAAGACCATCACAGCTCCTATGTGCCTGCGTTCTTATAACTATTACTATTATTAGGATTAACCACATGGCCCAGAAATTTGAAACACTCAGTTTGATTTGTAATCCCTTGTTGCAACTAGGGAGTGTTGAAGAGTTATTAAGGGATAGTTTATCCAGCTTTCTTGCTGAAATAGTATTTTTAAAAACACACAAAATTGTTTTACTGTAGTTAAAAAAAAAAACCACATACCCTAAAATTTACCACCTTAACTTTTTTTTTTTTTTGAGACTGAGTTTTGCTCTTGTTGTCTAGGCTGGAGTGCAATGGTGCAATCTCAGCTCACTGGAGACTTCACCTCCCAGGTTCAAGTGATTCTCCTGTTTCAGCCTCCTGAGTAGCTGGAATTATAGGCATGCACCATCATATTTGGCTCATTTTGTATTTTTAGTGGAGACGGAGTTTCTCCATGTTGGTCAGGCTGATCTTGAACTCCCAACCTCAGGTGATCTGCCCACCTCAGTCTCCCAAAGTGCTGGGATTACAGGCATGAGTCACTGCACCTGGCCACTTTACCATTTTTAAGTGTGCAGTTTAGTAATATTAAGTATATTCACATCTCTGAGAAAGAGATCTCTAGAACTTTTTCTTCCTGTGAATGTGAAACCGTCCCTCTTGTACAGCGACTTCCTTTTTCCATCTCCTTGAAATATCTTTGTAAGGCTTCTGTGGACAATGTTTGCAGAGTTCAATCCTTTTCCTCGAAGAGTTCTCTGAAAGCACAAGAAGAAAACAATAAGGCCAAAAAGAATTGGTGTCTGTGTTTTCCTATGAGGCATTTTACCCTATCCTGCTGTCAAAATTACTGGCTGTCAGAAAGCTCCCCTAGTAGCGTCAGGCCTTTAACAGATGACTCTGGCCCTGAGTGGTACCAGGGAGTCAGAATGTATCTTAGTCTGTTTTGTGCTGTATACCAGACACTGGATAATTTATAAAGAGAAGAAATGTGTTTCTCACAGTTCTGGAGGCTGAGAAGTCCAAGGCTGAGTGACCAGCACCTACAGGGCCTTCTGCATCACAGCACATAGAGGGCATCACATGTTGAGAGAGAACAGGGACGTCAAACTGGCTTTTACTACAAGCCCCCTCTTTTGATAACAAGCCACTCCTGTGATGGCAACATTCATCCGTCCATGAGGGCAGAGTTCTCATGGCCTAATCATATCTTATTTTTTTTCTTTGAGCCAAAGTCTAACTCTGTTGCCCAGGCTGGAGAGCAGTGCTATGATTTCGGCTCAGTGCAACCTCTGCCTCCCAGGTTCCAGCAATTCTGCTGCCTCAGCCTCCCAAGTAGCTGGGATTATAGGCGTGCAGCACTCCACCTAGCTAATTTATGTAATTTTAGTGTCTCACCATATTGGTCAAGCTGGTCTCAAACTCCTGACCTCAAGTGATCCACTCACTTCAGCCTCCCAAAGTGCTGGGATTACAGGCATGAGCTACCGCGCCTGGCCTCTAATCACTGCTTAAGTGTCCCACCGCTAAAGGCTGTTGCATTGGGGATTAAGTTTCCAACACATGAACTTTGGGGGACACATTCAAGCCATAGCAGCATGCCTTTTGCTTGTTTGTATGTGTTGGGAGGACTTCTAGACATGAGCTCTAGGAGATTAAAAGGCCATACAGCTGTGGGCTCCTCCCCGACCCCCAATACCAGCATCCTCCCGCTCACAGCGCAGATAATGATCACGTGGCCTACACTTAACTACCTCCAATGATGGGCCTATCACTGCACCTGAGGCCAATGTTCCCTCATCATCTTCCCTTTATGATTACTACAGGTCGTAAGAAAATTTTAATAAACTGATCTCTTAGGTACTTGAAAGCATTTAGAGTTTCCTGTCTGGTCTGATTCCATGTCTTTTCTGCTTCAAGCTGCTTTCTTTCTTCTTTTAAGAGATGGGTCTCTGTCCCCCAGGCTGCAGTGCAGTGATAGGATCGTGGCTCACTGCAGTCTTGAACTCCTGGGCTCAAGCAATCCTCCTACCTCAATATCCAGAGTAAATGGGACTATAGGTGTGCACCACCAAGCCTAGCTAATTTTTTTACTTTTTCTGTACAGATGGGGTCTTCCTATGTTGCTCAGGCTGGTCTCATACTCCTGGACTCAAACAGCTTGCTGTAAGACAGACCGTGAAAGCCAGTAAGTCTACTAGGGAGATACCTTTGTTTTCTTTATTTTTTCAAGATCTCTTTGATGTCATCCTTCCTCCCATTCTAACCCACCCCTGCCTTTGCAGGCAAGCATGTCATCCAAGAATGTTCAGAGTACACTGTACTCCTACCTTGCTGATGATGTAATCCCTCATCTCTAGCTAGGGCTCTGGGAATTGCCTCTTGCCAGATATGGCATCCAGAGAAAGATCCAATCGCAGGTTCATAATGTAACTTTCAACTAAAGCATAGCATGGTCAAAGAGAATCAAAGTGATGGTCAAAGAGAAAGTGAACAGATCATAATAAAGGTCACCCACCCAATCTGATTGGAAAGAAGTCTATGAAATTAGATAAATGATGTAACATAAAACCAGGCTGGGCTTGGTGGCTCATGCCTGTGATCCCAGCACTTTGGGAGGTCAAGGTGGGCATATCATTTGAGGCCAGGAGTTCAAGACCAGCCTGGCCAACACAGTGAAACCCTGTCTACTAAAAATACAAAAGAAAAATTAGCCAGGCATGGTGGTGCA